GGGGAGGGGGGGGGCGGCGCGCCGAACGGCGGCACCCAGCCCTAAGGGCGGGGGCTTCCTCCGGCCCCGGCAGGTGGAAGTGAAAGAAAAACCCTGCCGGGAGAGCGGTACAAATTAGGAAGCGCCAGAAATAATCCATGCCCGTAGATAACCCCGGGCACTGGGATGGCAGAGGAGACGGGGTCGTCTCTGGTGTTTGCTGAGCCGAGCAGCCCCTCGTTGCAGCGGGAGCCCCGGCGTTGCCTGCCCGCTGCCTGCTCACAAGCTGCCTGAAGGCGCTGGCCGAGCTCGGTGACCTCCGCACCTTACCATGCCGCCGCTCACGCCAGGAAACATCCCCCGCGACACCCACCCACCGCAGAGAGCCACAAGCTTGGGTGTCGGCCGGGGCAGGGCTCAAGCACAGCCTGGCAGGCACAGGTAGGAGGCACAGGCAGCTGCCCAGAGCCCTGCCGGGAGCGGGCAGGATGAGCACCGCTCCACCGTGCTGGGGGGTGTGCAGCACGGAGGGGTTGGGGGGCAGCGGGGAGCCGCCCCGCCGCCCTGCAGACCCATCTAGTGTCAGCCTGGACCCCCTCCCAGCCGCCGTTGCCCACCACAGCCTCCGTGAAGCATACCGAGAGCCAGTGGGAAAAGCTGCAGGTTTTGCTCCTTTTTATTACACAAAATAACTTCACCGCAATCAGTACAAATTGGAATGAAAAGTTTCACTGAAAATGCCAAATAAATTAAAAATACCTTTGCATAAACTTACATAAAAGAGCTAAACGCTGTATTAAATAGTCTGCCAAATTCACAGGCAATAAGAAAAAGGGACGTGTCTTGGAGGTGCCCATGAGAGAAGGTCCTCACAGAGGTGATGCTTGGAGGGAGCAGGGTATTGCTCATCCACGGCCTGCCTTGTCCTTTTGGTGATTCACGATGTCCTGGACCCACTTATCATCGGGTTTGCCACAGACCATCCTGCCTACGACCGTGGTAAATCTGCAGAAAGAAATCCAGTTAAAGGGAGAGGAGAGGAGAGGAGAGGAGAGGAGAGGAGAGGAGAGGAGAGGAGAGGAGAGGAGAGGAGAGGAGAGGAGAGGAGAGGAGAGGAGAGGAGAGGAGAGGAGAGGAGAGGAGAGGAGAGGAGAGGAGAGGAGAGGAGAGGAGAGGAGAGGAGAGGAGAGGAGAACCACTCGCTTCTTGCCACTGGTGAACCCCACCAAACCAGACACCTCTATAGCTGCAGAACAGCTCCAGAATGGGGTGGGGGGTTGGCTTAATGTCATTACAGGTGTCTTGCTCTCTGCCGCTTAAGCCACTTTGCCCCCAGCGTGCCTACTCCAGCTGGGACATCGTCTGGCCTGGGTCCCGCTCTCTGAGGATGAGGGGGGTGACCATCAGAAGCTCTTTTGGCTCAAATCTAATAGGGAGGTCCAGAAACTGGCTGCCTGGGATGTGGGATTGGCCTCTGAGATATTTCCAGGCTGTTCTCCTAAAACAGGAGAGCCCAGCCTGGTGTTTTCCCTTGCCAGGATGGGGTGAAATGCGGGGTTTCCTGGTGCTGCAGGGCCCCCCAGGATTTGGGCAGAGATCTACTCACATCACGGCTGGCTGGAAGCAGTGGCTGCCTGTGTGCTCATACATCATCACGCGGCTCGAGGGAAACGCTTTGGTGCTGTATTTGACGCAGCAGGGACCAGAAAAGTTGACAGAAGCTGGAAGAGAAGTTAAGTTTTCTGATTAAACCAGACCAGGAAAATCACCAGTGGGGAGAAGCAGGGTCAGAAGACCAGAAGGTCCCCGCTGGAGGAGGTGCTGCTCCCACCGTGGGCTCCCACCACAGCCATCCTTCCCTCAGGAAGCCAAAGAGCAGCAAGACATGCCTCTCCTTTCCCACAGCAGATGCTCGGAAGGGAGAGCTGCCAAGCATTACTAAACCTTATACAGCAGAAAGAAAGAGGAGAGAGCTCCTCGGAGAGGAGAGCTTGGACTCACTTGGAGAAGAGGAGACCTGGTAGCAGAGGACAGCCACGAAAAGTACAGCAAGGGCAGCTGTGGAGGTCTTCATGCTTCTGTTGGGTGGAGACAAATTGTAGGAGTCAGGCTAGACTGCTGCAGAGAGCCCCTTGCTGTGCCTGATGTAGGATCCCTGGGTTCAGCCCGCTTTATAGAGGGAAAGAGTGAGCGAGGACGGAAACATGCCGGAAACATTGCCACACGACATGACACAATGGAAAAAGTGCTGTGTCAAGGGTGCCGCGCAGACCTGCGGAGGGAAGTGCCCGGACCCCCGATGAGAGTAGTGCCCTGATGTGGCATAGTATGTAATGATATGATATCATGAAATGATGAAGAACAGGATATGACCTCTCTTTTCCTTTCCCCTGACCAAAGGACTCTGTAGAGAACCTAGAAGTAACAATTCAGAAGATTACTAGATGGACCTCTTGCCTAGAAGTCACATGCTGGCAATGGATGGAGAATGACCGTGGCTGGCACGCGCTCGTGTTTCCTAGAATATCTGCATCACAGACAAACTGGGGACAATTCACTTCTCCCACAGCGGCTGGAGCAGGGAAAGTCCGTGAGTCAGGCAGCCCTCCCCGGCTGCCCGCCCAGCGGGTCGGCGAGGCACACGGCAGCCGTGCCCTGCCCCGCTTGCAGCACTGCCCCAAGGAGACGGGGGCTTTCTCCATGGGACCCAGAAGGCCATCATGTATGTAAGTGTGCAGAGCAGAGGGTAGAGTGCGGTGCCACCCCAGCTCTGGGCTCCTCTCCTGTTCTTGACCATCACTTGCAGCGAGTCATTAGGAAACTGTTTCTGTTGCTACGTTGCAGTTTCACAAATACCAGTGACAGCTAAAATAGCACTATGTTACTATGTCGTGGTTTAACCCCAGCCGGCAACTAAGC